ACACGCTGTGGGGAGAGCAGAGACAGGCAGGTCAGCCAGGACAGAGCCCCATGGGGAGCTGGGCCAGGCTCTGCTCTCACTGGGAACCCCTCTCCTGGCTGCAGGGACCAAGTGGGACACGGGAGCTGCTGGAAGCCATGGCTCACGGATACCGAGGCTGAGATCCCTATCCCAGAGGGACAAAGAGCCTCGGTAAAGGGCACAACCCCCCCTGTGTCACCCAGGGAAAGAAGTCAGAGCCATATGCCTGTTCCCAAGAAGCCCAGGTGAGACCCCAAGGAAAGGCTCCCTGCCCACAAGGAAGGCAGAGATGCAGCTGTGGGCTTAGAGGGATCTGTTCCAAAATCCCTGTGCCCCCCAGCCCAACTTACTTGTAGAGGTTCCACACCAGGGCCAGGCAGTCCTTGGCCCCTGAGAGGAAGTGGCTGCTGTCATCGGTGAAGCAGAGGCACGTGAGGTCCTGGTAGTGTCGGTTCAGGATGGCGAGGAGGTTCCCGTTGGACACCTGGAGTGAGGGGAAGGGCAGGAGGCTGTCAAGGATGTCTCGGGATAATGTGGTGCCCTGCCATAGGTGAGGGGAGAAGGTCGGTTCTGTTGTTGCCATGAGCCTGTTGGCACCTCTGGACAGTGACTGACAGCACTGAGGTACAGCTGGAACAACAGCCTGCACTCAGGACCACAGGGAAATTCAGCACACAGCAGTGGAAGAGGTCCTGGCACATTAACTCTGGAGCCCAGTGATGCCAGAGCTGTTCCTCTGGTCAAGTCACAAGTGTTCAGTAAAGATTTCTTGTTCACTCTTAACATTCAGATTATTTTGGAGGTTTCTTCCCTCCTTCCACAGGTCCTCAGGAGGGAGCAGCAGGGTTATGAGAACTGCACGACACCCCAGGGGTGGCTCGTGGTCCTGGGCCAGCAGAGGCTTTAGGGTGGGCAAGGAATTCCCCAAAGCCAGAGCATTTCTTATTAAAAAGCAACACTGCAGATGGGGAGGGAATCAAAAAGAGAAAAAGCCTCAAATAAAATAAGAGTCTACTTTTTCCCATGCTCTGAATTACACCAAAAAATCAAACCAAACCTCAGTTCAAGGGGTTTCATATACAGCACAAAACCAGGGCTCTAGGGGCTGGTTCCAGCTCCGTGATGGTTTCCATGGAGCCTCTCCAACGTGCCACAGGGACAGTGCCATACTCTGGAACACATCTGTGGGTGATGGGAACTGGAGCAGGGCCCAGCTCGGACCATCACAGGCAGCAGATCCCACTGCAGGCTCAGCCTCAGGGATTTTATTCCAGCACTGCTACAAGCACATTGGTACAAACAAACCCTGATGGGTTCAGGTAGAGCCACCCACATAATGAGGCTCAAACCTCCACTGGCACGGGGAGCTCTCCAGGTGAGGCATCCTGGGGTTTAATCCCAGGCTCAGGACAAACTACTGCTTTTATTTGCTCAGTGGTGTGCTGGGAACGCAGCATAATCCCAAGTAATCCAGCAGTAATTAACCAGCAGGACAGTGACCAGAGCACAGCAGGGGCTGCTGGCACCCTGGGCACACACAAATTAACATCTGAAATGTGGGAGAAGTGCTGAAGGAAAACCAGGTCCTGACTGCTGCCTCATAGGAGCAATGCTCCACCCCTGAGGCATCGGAGATGCTTGGAAAGAGAAGAAGGAGGGAGAGTGAAGCCTCTCCCAGAATTCCTCCTACTCCTGCTTCAATGAGCCGCCCCATGAGCTGCGGGCAGCACAGCCTTTGCCTGGTGTGGCACCCCAGCATCAGGATTTACAAACATTTGAGGGATGGGGACGCTCCCTGCCTGTGCAGGGTGTGAGTCTGTGTGGCCTGAGCGCCCCAGCACCTCCGTACCTCCCACAGGTAGATGCTCTCGGCCACCCCGGCCAGGACGTAGAGCCCGTTGGGGGAGGCCGTCAGGCAGGTCACAGGCCCGGGACAGATGATCTTCTGCTGCAGCTGGTCCTGGGACAGAGAGAGCACAGCAAGGGCTCAGAGAGGAGAAGGGGCTGCAAGCAGAGCCCCCCGACTTGGGGGCTCGGGGGGATCTCTGTTGGGGTCTCTGCAAAGACAGGGATGGGGGCACCTGTCCGTGGTGATGGGGGTCGGGATCAGGGAGGGTGGACCTGAGGGTCTAACCGGGGACAGGGGTGGGTCTCTGTGGAAAGAGGGGCCATGGGGGTCTCTGCAGAGAACTGGGCCATGCAGGGGTGTCTGAGCGCAGAGGAGTCTCCATGAAGAACGGGGCCATGCGGGGGTCTTTGTGGAGAGAGAGGCCATGGGGGGGTCTGGGATTCTTCCCCATGGATTTGGGGGCCTCTGCGGACGGAGGGGCTCCTCATTACAGGGCCGGGAGGTCCGCAGGGAGAGTGGCCCCGTCACATCCCCCACGGGGCCCGGAGTCCCCCCGCGAGGCCCGGGGCCGTCCCCCGAGCCGAGGCCGCCCGGGCCCGCCCGCCGCGCCGGTACCTTCCTCTGGAGCTCCCAGACGTTGATGTAGCTCTTGCCGAGCTGCGCCCCCAGCAGGTGCTCGCCGCCCAGCAGCGCCAGCCCTCGCGGGCCGCTGTTGCCGCCGCGGTACCCGGGCAGGGCCGAACCCGAGTGAAGCTCCCAGACCGAGCAGTTGCAGAGCGGCCCCGCCGCGTCCGACACCAGCGCCACCTCCATGGGCGCCGCCATCTTCGCGGTCCGCCAGGGCCACAGAGAGCGCGGCCGCGGCCCAGAGCGCCGCCTCCCCCGCCCGGCACCGACCAATCAGCAGCGGCGTAGCCACGGCCGCGCGGGGCGGGAGCTGTGCACGCGGCAGGAAGCTCAGCAGGGCCCGCTCCGGTCGGCGGTGGATGGGTGACCTGGGGCACCGCGTGTGCGCATGGACACCCCACGGACACCCCATGGACACCCCACGGACACCCCACGGACACCCCATGGACACCCCACGGACACCCCACGGACACCCCATGGACACCCCACGGACACCCCACGGACACCCCACGGACACCCCATGGACACCCCACGGACACCCCACGGACACTCCACGGACATCCCACGGACTCCCCACGGACATCCCACGGACACCCCACAGCCTTGTGGGGCACCCTGTGGATACCCCATAACCCTCTGGACTCCCCACAGCCCCACAGGGACCCCATGGACACCCCATAATCCTACAGACACCCCGTAGCTTCATGAGAACCCCATGGGAACCCCACAAAACTCAGGGTGCCCCGGACGCCTTCCAATCCCATTGACACCCCACACCCCCACCATGGCTTCGTGCGAACCCTATGAACACCCCACAGCTGTGAGGGTACCCTTGGACACCCCACAGGTTTATGGGGACCCCATGCACATCTCATAATCCTATCATCACCCCATAAATCCACTGACACCTCACAGTCCCACAGGGATACCCCAAATCCATAAGGAAGCCCTATGGACACCCCACAGCCCTGTGGGCATCCCTGGCACCCCCCAGGGCAAAAAACCCCAAACAACACAACTTTTTTTTTTTTTTTTTTTAATATTTCTTCACTTTACAGGGTTACAATTGTCTTAAATATTCTGACGTTTAAATACAATCTGTATAATAATGTTATTATAAAATGTAAACTTTCAGTGTTTTTTTTAAGTTTATTTTCTCTTTTTTTTTTTTTTAATTTTTTATTTTTATTTTTTTTAATAATAATCAAAAAGTCTCAATACCTGAATGTTTTGCAAAACTGAAATCTTTCACCGGGGCCCCAGGTGCGCCCGAGGCCGCCGCGCTCAGAGGTAGAATGTGGTTTATTTTTTTATTCCTTTTTTTCCTTTTTTTTTTGTCTTTTGTGGTTTTTTTTTCTTTTCTCATTTTCCTTTTTTACCTGAGTTAAGATATGCAACGCTGGGGGGAGGAGGGCGGCTGCAGCTGGGGCCGCTCCTTTAGTTTAATTTTCTTTCCAAACCCCCCCCCCCCCCCCC